TAGCGATGGTGTAAACCATGTTTTTTTTTTTCAAATTAATGGAATCCGAGAATGTAATGTTTTGGGCACCTTTTCCTTTGTATTCTTTTACTGTGTGTCTACATAGCTTTTTCAGTGGGAGGGTCCGTAGGTTCTGGTTCACTTGGCATTTTTAAAGTAGCTGCACTTTAACTTGACACGTGAAGAAGGCTCCACGGCCGAAACGTTGTGTTCTCTTATTTCTTTTTTTCAGCATGGAATAAACCTATTACTTGTTCCTTTGCAGCCTACGCATGCTGACGCCGCTACCCACCTGCACTTTAACTTTGCCCAGTTAAGCCAATAACTTGCTTTAGAGCTTAGTTGCAGTGAAAACCTGCAGTGGCTCTGGCCCTTCATTACTATATGTGGATAGTTGTAGATTAGAGTTTGTCCAAATCATTGTAACGGTGTACATGCTGCTCAGTGCTGATGGCTTGTTTTGTGAATTTCTAAAACATTGTGAGAATTGTTTGTACTCTGGTAAACAGTAAGGCTACTGTTGTGTGAGTGGGCAGTAAGAGGGCTTTGCTCTGTCGTAGTAAATTCAATATCCATTTTGCATGATCTGGGCAGTGGGCAGTAATATCTCAGCATTGTTGCTAAGGACAGTAATTGTGCACAGCATCCAGGATGAGAAGATGCACTGGATGAGCACCCCTGCCTCAAGACTCTGGGGTCCCCGATTCAGTTCTGTACTGACTGTGGCATCTTCTTTCAGTTCTCTGCCCAGGCTTGTGTGGGTTTCCTCCCGCCTTCCAAAGACGTGCTAGCAGGGTTAATTGGCATCTCTAAATTGTCCATGTCTGTGCCCTTCTGTTGACTGGCTTGTCTATGGTGTATCTCCGGCTTGCGCCCTGTGCCTCTGGGACAGTCTCCAGATTGCCCCAGGTCTTAATAATTAATAATAATTGCTTACACTTATATAGTGTAAGTACTCAAAGTGCTTTACAGATAATGGGGACTCCCCTCCACCATTAACAATGTACAGCCCCATCTGGATGGTGTGATGGCAGCCATAGTGCGCCAGTGCACTCAACACACCAGCTATCAGTGGGGAGGAGAACAGAGTGATGAAGCTGGGGTTTTTAATGACCACAGAGAGTAAGGACCTTGGTTTTATGTCTCATCTGACGGACAGCACCTTTTTACAGTACAGTGTCCCTGTCGCTATACTGGGGCATTAGGACCCAAACAGACCACAGGATGAGCGCCCCCTGCTGGCCCCACTAACACCTCTTCCAGCAGCAACCTTAGTTTTTCCCAGGAGGTCTCCCATCCAGGTACTGACCAGGCTCACACCTGCTGAGCTCCAGTGGGTTGCCAGTTGTGAGCTGCAGGGTGATATGGCTGCTGGCTCTTAAAAGAAACGAGTGGTTTCTGATGATGGGTAGAACATTTTTTCTCAACCCCTGTGCCGTTGAGACCAGGCCTGCAGTGTGGCAGTATGGGTGATCTTAGCCTTTATGTTGTTGGATGTTAACACAAAACTGAAGATGCCTGCTTGGTGCTGTTGAACACATGACATCAACATGTTTTTTCTGTACCTCTCAGATGCACTGATGAACAGCCTTGGGCTTCGGCTTGTTGGTCCCTACGACATCTTGGCGGGAAAACACAAGTGTGGGAAGAACCCAAATCCCAATTATTTTCTGCACTGGAGGCACTTCTATGACCCCCCGGAATTCCAAACCATTCTTATTGGAAGTAGTGAGACACAGTATCACATGGGGTACTACAGGTACACTACAGTTCTTGACTTTTGAGTCCTTTTACATCTTGGTTCCTTCTTTTCCTCTTGGGTACAGAGAGGTTTGGCGCTTTGAAAGCATGAATTGTTGACAAAAAGTCGGCTGCTTGTCGTTTGATGTTTTATGAGTTACAGATAGCTGAACAGTGGAAAGTAATTTTGCATTTCTTAATTTGTATACGACTTTCTAGCAGTACTGTTCCAGTTCATCAGGCTACAAATTCAGGTTATGAGGCGGCAAGCATTAGGGGAATAAAATTGTTTTTGTAAATCAACTGTGACCTCTGAATTTAAGTGTTGAGAGCAGGAGTTTAGCCATGCTGACATCAGGTGTGTTAAGTGTTTATATTCCCATTTTCACAGAGTTCTGTAACTGAGATTTTTTTTTTTAATTGTAGGGACTCTTCAGATTCTTTGCCTGTGTTCATTGGTGCCAACGAAGCAAAGAAGAGCTGTTTGATAGCACAGATGGGAGACAATGTATTTGCTGCAGTCACGTGAGTTATTGCTCAGAGATGTTTTTCCATTTGTACACGTGAGTCCATCTGATTTCTTATAGTGTTTTTAAGTCATTTTACTCCCCATGTAGTTCATGTTCAGGAAATTTAGGATGAAGTTTATTGTGCTATGTGATATTTATAAGTTTTCTTTTCTAGATATATTGTTATTTTAACGGGATTTGAATAATGTGAGCAGTGGTTCTGCCTGCGGTCAGTTACCTGATCAGGCAGATGAGCATCACCGATTTCTCACGTGTGCGTCCTTTCCAGTAGCAAGAGCAAGTGAAGTGAAGATTCTCCAAGTGAAGATTGGTGATTGTGTATATAGATTATTCTGATTACCAGGACTTCTCTTGTATTCTTATAGTTATAAGGACAAAATCAACAGTACACTGGTTACAAAATATAGTACAATACCGGGGCCAGCGAAATATTTTGCTGTTCTTTGTTGGGTAAGGATAAGTATTGACAGGCTGATTTATTAAAAAGTATTACATTTTATATGGTGGTTCAATCTTAGTAGACCTTTTCTTACAATATTACTTAAAGAAGGGTTCCATAAAACCCAGACAAATTATCTTCACTTGCACTGATCTTACTGTTATTAATATTATTAATTTACCTTCTGCGTTTT